CTACGAGTTTGGATGACTCGCCACCATGTCCTCCCTTACCCTCTCAACTTGATGATTCAATCAATTCTCCCTCTATTTTCGAATCTCCTTCCTCACCTTCTCAACTTGATGGTTCAACTAATTCTCCATCTTTTTCCGATGGCACACCACCCTCTGATTCATCTTCTCCAACAATTGTTCGTAATTACCCTCAACGCATTCGTCAACAACCAAAGCGTCTCAATGATTATATTTGTAATCATATTTCACTATCCACTGATTTTCCACTAGAAAATTACTTTTCTTTTAGTAATTTAAGTCATTCTTATCGAGCTTTTCTCACAAATGTCATTAAGAATCAAGAGCCGCGATCATATTCTCAAGCCATAAAATCAATTGAATGGCATGATGCAATGGCCAAGGAAATTCTAGCTCTAGAATCAAATAACACTTGGTCCTTATGTCAAATTCCACCCGGCAAATCACCCATTGGTTGTAAATGGGTCTTCAAAATTAAATATCGGTTAGATGGTTCAATTGATCGATATAAAGCTCGTTTAGTTGCCAAAGGTTACACTCAAATTGAATGAATTGATTATCATGATACCTTCGCACCTGTGGCAAAACTAGTTACTGTACGTCTCATTCTCTCAATTGCTGCCATTAAAAGTTGGTCCATCCACCAACTTGATGTTAACAATGCATTTCTTCAAGGAGATCTTAATGAAGAGGTCTATATGAAACTTCCCCTGGCTTCTCTCACAAAGGGGAGAATCGTGTATGTAAATTAAATAAATCAATCTATGGTCTTAAACAAGCTTATGTCAATGGTTCTCCAAATTCTCAACCACTCTTATTAGTCGAGGCTTTCGTCAATCAATTTTCAGACTACAGTCTTTTTACATATATTCGTAATAAGACATCCATTTTTATACTCGTCTATGTTGATGATATTATCATTACAGGAAATAATGATGATGCTATCTTTGATATCAAAAAATTTCTTGCCAATTCCTTTTCCATAAAAGATCTTGGTAATCTTCGATACTTTTTGGGTATTGAAGTATCTCGTTCAAAACAAGGCATTTTTTTATGTCAATGCAAGTATACTCTAGACATCTTATCTCATTCCGGGATGACTGGTTCTCGTCCGTCTCATTTTCCAATGGAACCACATCTTCGTTTACGTCCACATGATGGGACTCCTCTTCCCGATCCATCAATCTATCGACGTCTCATAGGACGTCTACTATATCTCACTATAACACGACCTGGCATTCAATATGCGGTAAATACTCTTAGTGAATTCATGCAAAATCCGCATTCTACTCATCTTGATGTTGCAAATCGAATCCTTCGTTATCTTAAAGGTACTGTTGGTAAATGTTTATTCCTTTCTGCATCTAGTTCTCTCAATCTAGTAGGATATACCGACTCTGATTGGGCTGGTTGTCCCACCACTCGTCGGTCTACCACTGGTTATTTCACCATGTTAGGTTATAGTCTTATTTCTTGGAAAACTAAGTAACAACCAACCGTTTCTCGTTCTTCTGCCGAAGCCGAATATCGTTCTCTCGCTACACTTACGTCTGAGTTACAGTGGTTAAAATATGTTCTAACGGATCTTGGTTTCAACCACTCTCAACCAATTCCAGTTCATTGTGATAGCCAAGCTGCTATACACATTGCAGAAAATCCTGTCTTTCATGAACGCACCAAACACATTGAGATTGATTGTCATTCTGTTCGAGAAAAAAATAAGGCAGGTCTCATTGCTCCCTCATACCTACGTTCTAGCGATCAACTGGCAGATATTTTTACGAAACCACTTGGAGCTGAAGCTTATCGACGATTAGTTCGCAAGTTGGGTGTTTTTGACATATCAATACCACTCCCAACTTGACGGGGGGTGTTAAATGAATATTTAGGTGATTTGAATTGATAGTTAAGCCTTAATTATGTGATTTGATTAGATTCAATCAAGTCTTAATTAGTGATTTGATTAGTGATTTGATTAGAGATTTGATTAGGTGTAATTATTGTATTCCTTTTATTGTTTCGCTTTTGTGTGTATATAAATGTACAAGCACTCATTGATGAAATATAAGAAAAAATTCATCTTCTTCATTATGACTTTCATCAATTTTACAGAAGGCGAGATCGAAGAAGAGACAAGGATTAATAATTATGGAATTATTATTTGAAGTGGGGTTTTTCTGAGAAAGGTCGAGGGCTCGAACGTAAAATTCTTCGATGTAGCAGCGTGGGCCCCGGAATCGACTGTTAGGGAAACGAAAACTAGGATTGCTAAGGTTACTAGGTAGCATAAGCAGTCAACTGGCCTTGTCGGGAATTCATTCATTGTTGGAGCTATAAGCATGTACTTGTTGGAGAAGAAGATATGTATATGATTGTTTGGGGTATCTTTGTAAATTTTCAATTTTATATAGGGTAAATTCCACTTCCTCCCTGTATTTTGGCTCGGTATAATTTTACCCCCTTCTACTCTCGATTGCATCAATTTTCCCCATGCACTTTAAAAATTGTCTTAATGTGGCCCTTGTTGTTAGTTGTCAGACATTTAACCTTAACACCGTTTGACCTAAGCTCTGAAATTACAAAAACGCAACCTCTCTCAGTTTAAATAATTATTAAAAAACAAAAAAACAAAAACAAAAAAAAACCAAAACAATAAAAAATTCAAGACAACGAGAAAACATAGTCCATGACGCCTATCACAATTGTTTTTTCTTTTTTTACTTTTTAATAATTATTTAAACTGGGAGGAGTGACTTTTTTGTAATTTTCAGAATTAGATCAAACTGTGTTAAGGAAAAATGTTTGAAAACTAACGACGAGGACCACATTGAGGCAATTTTTCAAGTACAGGGGGACAAATGGATGCAATTGATTGTAGAATGGGGTAAAATGATATCAAGCCAAAGTACAAGGTGGGAAAGTGGAATTTACCCTTTTATATATTTTATAGAGTAAATTGCAAAAACCTGCCCGTGTAATTCTCAATTGTTGAAAAAGTCCATGTGTTATAAAAATTGGCAAAAACCCCCTATATAATTTGCACCTATTGTGATTGTAGTCATTGACCAGAGATGAAAAGACGAATATACCCTTCAGTTAATAACATAAAACTAGAATTAATATATAATAGGGGCCAAATTGCAATTTTACTGAACTTTTGAAACTTAAATTGGGGGATTGAATTTTAATTTTCCCAAAGTAATATTAAACATAGGTTTTGTTTTTTTAAACTAATGCATATTAAACATAGGTTGAAACACACACTACACATCGCCAACCTTCTGAAACTTCAATCCGCCACCAACCTCGCCGCCGCCAACAAATCATCAATCACTAATTGTCTGAAACTCCCCAAAATCCGCCGCCAATCTTCTTCACGAATCAACCGCCGTCACTGCTGAAAATACATATTTCCAACAGAAGCCCATTTCAGAGAACCATAATTTTCCGGTGAGGGGGATTCTACCCAAACGCCATCCTCACCTACAATTGATTCCGCCGATGAGCTCCAAATCCATCTCCGTTATTTGAATCCACGTGAAGTTCCTTTGTCTTCCGCAAGTTTCAAGCAGTGAAAGCATTTTTTTTTTTCAAAGGTGGTGGAATTTTTTTCTCCAAGGGGCGGAGTTGAGAGGGTGAGGGAGAAGACAAAGGATCACGATTATAAGATTTTGAAAATTGCTATTTGGTCCTTTGAATTTGAATTGTTTAATTAAATTAAATTTAAGATACATTTATATATATAAGGGTGTTTATGTCATTTTAAACCAAAATTTACTAAAATAACCACACAACCCGTGCGTGAGTACCACGAGCAGCTCTAAGGGACTTTTTTCGCCATTGACTTATAAACATAGGAGGGTTTTTGCTAAGTTTTATAAGGGTAAATAACACTTAACCCCCTGTGGTTACAAGCTTTTGCACATGACCCCCTGTGCTCGTAATATCAGCACATAATTTCCTTGTGGTTTATGGGGGTATAACTTCCGTTACTTTTCTGTCAAACTTAACCGCGTGTGTCAAATTTTAAGGGGGTCATCTGCAAAAAATGAAAGAGAAAATAAAAGCACAGGGGTGTAATCTGCAAAAAAATTGCTTTGACGTTTGACACTGACGATTAAGTTTGATGGAAAAATTAACGAAAACTACCCCATGAACCACAAGGGGGTTATGTGCTGACATTAAAAGTATCAGTGAGTCATTATACAATAGCTTGTAACCACAGAGAGATTAAGTGCTATTTACCTTTTAATTATAACACAAGGATTTTTTTAACAATTGAGAATTACACCGGGGCTGTGTTTGCAATTTACACATATTTTATATAATATACGACGGAGCCAGTTTTGACACTTGACATTATTGCAATATTCGTAAACAATTAATTAATTGTTATATGAATTTGATATTCTACACCAACTATATCAACAATATTTTTAATTACCAAAAGTTGCATTGACATTAATTAGTCAATTGTCTACGACAATTCATGTTTACACGTCTTTGAACATAAACATATTACAAATATGAAATATATATAATTCTAGTCCCGTAAAGGATAGTCTATCGGTTGAAGTAAGTGAGTCTATATATGTCAGTTGACTTAGATTTGAATTCACTTGTCAATGGTCGCTAAGTAGAACTTGTCACAGATGGTTAGTCTACTGTGATTTACATCTCTAATATGGTTTGCAAGCTTGCAAGCTATTACACGAGAGTTTGGATTTACCCAGTGCACCTATATACCTAGTGTGATTTACATATCTGATATTGTTTACAAGTTATTATATGAGAGTGTCAGTGCACCTATACAGTTGGTTGCGGGTTCCTTCCGTACGGAAAAAAAAAAAAAGAAAAAAACCATAGGCCCGAAGGAAAATCTCAAATTTGTTGTTGGCATAAAAAGAGCAAACAATTTGAATATTTTGTTGTCACAAAGTATATGATCATATATAAAACAAAGAAATAATAATGATTAAAACTCAGAAGCACAAACATTTCCACGCATCTAAAAGGCTCATAAACAGTACATAAATCCCAACCCTACGCTGAGAAGCAGCCGAGTTGAGCCTAATATCCTTTTTCTTCACCTTGAGACCCGTTCCATCAACCTCCACGTCAGCACCGATCCTCACACCCTTCTTCTTCGAATACCACATCCCTTCCCAAAACTTCAGCCTCGCCGCCAAGTCAACCCTAAAAACCACCGTCGACCCATTCGAAACCGCCTTCACAGCGTCCTCCCACGGCACTCCTCGGCTCTCCACCACTTCCCACCGGTAGTCCACCTCCCACCACCCCTGGTCAAAGCTCCAGACTACGTAATTCGCAACGGCGTTGTTATTTCTGCCGTACGAGAAGGTGAGGTTAACATCTCCGTAGCGCACAATGTGCCCGTATTCGATGTTTACGAAAGCGAGATTATGGTATTATTTATAAAATTATGGTATTATTTATAAAATTGTCTTTATTATTATTATTATTTGAATTTGTGGGTAATTGGGAGAGATCGAGGGCGGGAACATAGAATTCTTTTATTTAAAAGCGTGGGCCTCTGTGGATGTTAGCCGTTAGGGTTAGGGTTACGGAAATGGAAAGTGTAACTGCAAAGATAATAAGGGTGCATAAGCAGCAACCTGCAAATGTATTCATTGTTATTGATGTGCTGTAAGGAAGAATCCGTGGAGAAGAAGACTGATCCGGACTGATTTTGGCCTTGAGGCAAGTCCAATTAAGTGAAGCCCAGATGATCATGCCCGACTTGGGCCCAGGTCAAGTTCAAGGAAGCCCAATACCACAACTATCATAATAGACCGCAGAGAGTAATTAACGAGGTATGAAACGTACGAGATAGACTTCCGAGATAATCCCACACCGGACGAAGTAAGCGTTACGTCGGCATTACGTCGGCATCTCGAAAGTAGAGCAGGGGACAATTCCGGGACGTGAAGGATGGGTGGTAGGCTTGAACTGATTGATGAATAGTGGAAAGGACGAATAAGAACTCGCCACATGGCCGAATAGACAGGATGACGACTTTTCTATCTTGTAAATGTAAACAAGCCCAAAAGGCCCATATTGTAGTAGTATATATACTAGGTCATGTATAGAGACACCCCCGGGCTCTCGAATAATAAAAGGGAATTCAATAAATTGGACCACCCATGTATATTACCTTAGGCACATTATCTTCATAGGTTATTTAAATAATCTTTCTCATCCACATTACTCTGTGATCTCATAAGCACTCAAGGTATGAACATTCAAACTAATAATAAGATCTAGCAATCTATTGAACATAACAAATACCTATAAAACCTTTATTATTGTATGTGGCTAATTTAAGCACCATCAAATGGCGCCGTCTGTGGGAAAATTGAGTTATAGACGTGAGTTTTAATTATTTGCTGTAGTATTCTTTTTCGTTACCTCGTTTTTCACTTTTCAAGCGCTCAAGATTCATGGTACCGATGTCAACAAGTGAAGAAGGCTTGGACGCTCGCTTCACAACGGCGGAAGCATCGGCATCCCGACAAGAAGGCCCTGCTACGCCAGTCACTCTGGTGGGGCGAATGGCACCCCTGGTCGAGATACCTTCTACGCCTCTCTCACTGTCCATGGAGGAGGTTCAAAGAATGGTGAATCAGGCCGTACAGCAGGATCGAGCTAACAGAAGGATAGCTAAAGTCCGTGTTAAGTGTATATTTATACACTTAATTGTACCTTTTAATTGGGGCTTTTGGTGTGTTTAAACGATAATTGGTGCTTAAAATGGCTTTTATTTGTATTTTAGGTGCAAATTGAAGAATTGGCAACTTTTGGGGTGAAAACTGCAAATTCGGAGAAAAAGTGGGCCAAAAGTGAAAATATCGAAATTCTGGAGAATTAAGAACCGGACGGCCGTCCGGATTTTAAAGCGTATTCTCGCACGGCCGTCCGGATTGGCGAGGTGGCGCAGTGAAGGAAGTTTAATTACACAAGGAAACCCGCCCTATTATATTTTTGCACCCTATTTAAAGGCCAAAAGCACACAATTAGAGGGAATTGGATATTTTATTTTTCTACACGCAATCTAGGAGCAAGAGAACGGAGCAACGAAGACGAAGACTTGACAAATCTTCATCATAATTCTTCCTTTATTTTTATTTCTAGATTTTTATGAACTTTCGTATTTTTATTATGCTTTTCGTTACGAACATGAGTAGCTAAGTTTTTATTCTAGGATTTTATTGGAACCCTATGTGGTAACTCGAACCTCTTTTTCTACTTTTATGCAAGTTTAATTCTTCGATTATTTCTTCTATTTTGATCTTATTTAGCGCATGAACGTAGCTAATTTATGTTGCTATTAGTTATTGTTAGAATTGATTGACAGATCGTTTTAATAATTAGAACAGGGATAGAAGAGCCTTCGAGTAGTTTTTCACCGAATGTGTGTGTTGATTGCATGTATTATCGTAGACATACAGATAATACCTTAGGTAGCCGTTTTCGAGACTTGTTATTTAATGTTTTATTTATACTAGGTTTGCATAGACATATAGTGAATCTTTTATGAATAATAGGCTTATAATACAGCGACAGCTGGTTATGAGTAATTTCGTGTCTTGGGTTAATAATCGGGAATCATAACTTGCATGATAGAAGATTAATTGGGTGAAGAATTGTCGCATAGGGGAAGATAAAATCCTAGATCCGTTTTATATTGATATTCTCTCGTGTTTAATTGCTTTCTTAATTAGTTTAATTTATTTAGTTAATTAATTTGACAACCCTGCGTAGGCTGGATTAATATTGATATTCAGGCTTTGGAGCACCTAGCGTACGATGGGACGACAGTCCCTTGGGATCATATAAGCCGGTTTCAGACCACGTCTTATTTACACCGGTTCTCGGATGGGATCATGTGCCACGCTTTCGCAACCACACTGCGGGATGCAGCCCAGTTGTGGTTTGGATAGTTGGCGGAAGGGTCAGTGCGAGACTTCGAAACTTTCAGTGCCATGTTGTTGGACCACTTCGCCAGTTCTAAAAAGCAGAAGAAGTCGGCCCTCACCCTCTTTGGAGTTCGGCAGGAGGAGCAGGAGCCTTTGAGGAACTTTGTGCGTCGTTTCACAAATGCTAGCCGAGAGGTGCCGGGCCTTTCACAGGATGTGCTTACTAATGCCCTCATGCAGGGGTTAAGGGATGGAGAATTGTTCAGGTCGTTGGCTAAACGGGCGCCGTCGACATATGACGAGCTTTTGAAGCGAACCGAAAAATACATCGCAATGGAAGAGGCGAGGGAGATGAAGGAAGAAGAAACCGCGGTGGTTCCTGCCCGCGATACCGCGGCAAAGAGCTTATCGCGGGGAAAGGATTTACATAGACAACAGCGTCATCCCATAGCTCGCGAAATCCCAGTCCCTGAGCATCGAAAACCTCGATACACGAGCTATGCCGTCCTCAACAAGTCACCGGCCAACCCTGGTTTTGATGGCGGTAGAAGGGGGTCGGATATTCGTTGGCCAACCACATATCAGAAGACCCCGCCGCAGGGCTCTAGCGACGACGGTTATTGTCGATACCACAATCGGTACGGCCATCGTACCAACGAATGTGGTGATCTGAAGGACGAGCTAGAAAGGTTAGCTCGGCATAGTCGAATAGATCAGTTCGTTAAAACGCATGCGGGAAATCACACCGCTAGTAGGCATGACCATCAACCCCGACCCTCGGTGGAACCGAGGAATCGTATCATGATGATCATGGGAGGACCTACGAGTGGGGACTCGCACAGGGCGAGGAAAAAATATGTTAGGTCGGGAAAATGGGCCTTTTCAAGAGAATGGATTCACCAGGTACAGGAGAGCTCGCCAACCATTTCTTTCGGTGAGAATGACAAGAGAGGGATAGTTCGCCCACACCACGACGCTTTGGTAATAACCGCGCACCTAGCGGGATACGAGGTATCTAGGATTTTTATCAACAATGGTAGTTCGGTGGATATCCTGTACAAAGAATGTCTGGACCAGATGCGTCTAGGAGAGTTAAACGTTAGCCCGGTGAAAACACCGGTCTATGGGTTTTCGGGCGAGGAATTTCGGGCGAGGAAGAGGTGGCCATTGGCGAGGTTTCCTTACAGATAACTTTGGGGACGTCGCCTCTGACACAAACTCACACAATACGTTTCCTGGTGATGGATACCCCGTCAACATACAATGTAATATTGGGGAGGCCGACCCTAAACAAATTTGAGGCTATCCCGTCAACAGTACACATGAAGTTGAAATTCCCTGTGAGAAGGGAGGTAGGCGAGGTAAGAGGGGATCAGGAGGACTCAAGGCGTTGCTATGCCGATGGAGTACGGGTAGCCAGCAGAAAGCGAGGGGATATAGTACATTCATTGCAGAAAGTACAAAGGACGGTGGACACTGATAATAAGAAGCCTCGGGTGACTCCGATGGAGGAATTGTCGATGATAGAATTACGGCCGCAAACGCCAGGATGTACCACTCGGATCGGTAGCGAGATGAGTGGGGAAGTATGTCGGGAACTGATAGCATTTTTACAAGAGAATCACGATGTATTCTCTTGGGGTCCGGAGGATTTGAAGGGCATCGACCCCAAGTTTTTTCAACATCGACTAAATATTCGGACCGACAGCCGGCCAATAAAGTAGAAGAGACGGCATTTCGGAGCCGAGAAAGACGGGATAATAGCTGCGGAAGTAGAGAGACTTCTACAGGCGGGACACGTCAAGGAGATCCAATTTCCTAATTGGTTGTCCAATGCCGTACTAGTAAAGAAAGCCGAGGGAAGGTGGCGAATGTGCATAGATTTTAAAGATATCAATAAGGCATGCCCCAAAGATCATTATCCTTTGCCAAGGATCAATCAGTTGGTAGACTCCACGGCGGGGTATGAGTTATTAAGCATGATGGATGCTTCGCAAGGGTATCATCAGATCATTCTCCATCCGGATGATCATAAAAATGTCAGTTTCGTTACGGCGGTGGGCACATTTTGTTACGTCGTCATGCCGTTTGGGTTGAAGAATGCCGGTGCGACATATCAAAGGCTGGTGGATACCATGTTCCGGAGTCAGCTGGGAAGGAATATGGAAGTATATGTTGACGACATGCAGGTCAAGAGTAAGGAGGCGAGAACTAACATCGAGGACTTGAGAGAGACCATCGCCAAGTTACGGCACTACGGAATGAAGCTCAACCCGGCAAAGTGTTCTTTTGGGGTGCGAGCAGGAAATTTCTGGGGTACATGGTGACCGAGCGGGGTATCGAGGTGAATCCAGAGAAGGTGCAGGCTGTGTTGGATATGAGATCCCCGAGGACGGTCAAGGAGGTTTAGGTTTTAACAGGAAGGATGGCGGCATTGGGGAGATTTATCTCGGGGTCAGCGGCAAGAAGCTTGCCTTTCTTTGAAGTATTAAAAAAGAATAAATCCTTTGTGTGGACGGCGGAATGTCAGCTCGCATTCGATCAATTGAAGGCATACCTCGTTCAAGTCCCCCTTCTAGCAAAGCCAATAAAAAATGAATCTCTTCTATTATATGTCGCGGCAGGGTAGGGGGTAGTAAGCTCAGTATTGGTACGGGAGGAGCAACACAAGCAGTTCCCAGTGTATTTCGTCAGTAAAGTTTTGCAGGGCGCAGAACAAAGGTATTCTGATATAGTGAAAATCGCCTACGTAGTAATGATATCAGCCCGAAAGTTGAAGCCTTATTTCTTGTCACATACCATCATAATAAGGACTAATCACCCTCTGAGGAAGATATTGAGCAACCCCGAGGTATTAGATAGAATGGTGAAATGGGCGGTAGAGTTGGGACAATATGATGTGGAGTTCCAACCTCGTGTTGCTATAAAAGGGCAGGTGCTGGTGGATTTCATCCAAGAAACTACGGCGGGGTGTGGCGAGGTAGAAGGCGAGGTATGGGAGGCTCACGTGGACGGTTCACCCACTATTGGATGTTGCGGGGTAGGGATTGTATTAACTAGCGCAAAGGGCGAGGTATCCAAATATGCTGTGAGGTTGGCATTTCGGGCATCCAATAATGAAGCAGAGTACGAGGCAATCAAAGAGAGGCTTAGGCTGGCTCGGGCTAAGGGAGTGAGAGTCATTAGAGTATTTTCGGACTCTCAATTGATCGTTCGGCAGATCAAGGGGGTCTTCGACGTAAAGGACGAACGAATGGGCCGATACGTGGCTCAGATTTCCGAGCTTATGGCTCAATTTGATCATTGCGAGGTAACTCAGATCCCTCGTGAGGAGAATCGCCGGGCGGATTTCTTGGCAAGGATGGCTAGTTCGGCAGCGGGGGTAGGGGAGCGATCTATATCGTTGAGTGTGGAGCCGGAATGCGATGGCAAGGCCGAAGTCTTGAGTAGAAGTAAAGAAGGATTGGAGGCACCATTATTGGCGTATCTACGAGGTGAAAAAGTGTCCGGTAGAAAGGAGCAAGACAAGGTAGCTGCGCGAGCACGATACTTCGCGGAGATTGGGGGGGAGTTGTATAAAAGATCATTTGTCGCGGATCCGTTGAAATGCCTCGGCGAGGAGGAGGTTAAATATGCAATGACGGAGATGCATGAGGGGTGTTGTGGCAATCACACTGGCGCCAAGAGGTTGGCGAGGCGACTTTTACAAGCGGGATATTTCTGGCCATCAATGAAAAAAGACTCGGGGGATTTTGTTAAGCGTTGCTCCAAATGCCAAAGGCATGCTCCGCTGATCCACGTGCTGGCCGAGGAGCTGGGTATCATGACATTACCCTGCCCTTTTTCCCAATGGGGAATTGATATCGTCGATCCTTTCCCAGTGGCTTCCGGCCGACGTAAGTTTCTAATCGTGGCAGTTGATTATTTTTCTAAATGGGCCGAGGCTGAGTCGGTCACCTCGATCACCGAGGCTAGTGTATTGATATTTCTATGGGAAAATATATGTTGCCGGTATGGAATTCCTCGTATACTCATCTCGGACAATGGAACGCTATTTAACGGCTCTAAGGTACGAGCGTGGTGTGCCGAGATGGGGGTCCAACAACGTTTTTGTTCGGTAGCACACCCACAAGCTAATGGACAAGTGGAGGTAACTAATCGGATAATAGTATCAGGCATAAAGAAGAGATTTGAAGAGGCTAAGGGGGCCTGGACGGAGGAGCTTGCATCAGTATTATGGGCATACCGATCTACCTTTAAGTCAGCTACGGGGGAATCTCCGTTCTCACTCGTGTACGGAATGGAGGCAGTGTTGCCTATCGAAGTACGTATACCTAGTCGAAGGACCCAATCCTTCAACCCGGAGCAAAATGGGCCCTTAATCCGGGAAAGTTTGGATATGATCATGGAAAAGAGAGAGGAAACAGCAAGGCACATAGAGAAAGATAAAACGGCGATAAAGGCGCAATATGATAAGAGAGTCCGAGGACGTAGGTTCGAGGTAGGCAACATGGTATTGCGACGAGCTGATGCTCTAAAGATGCGAGGTAAACTCGAGGAAAATTGGGAAGGACCATGCAAGATAATGCAGCGACTAAATGGAGGTGCGTATTGGATTGAAGACAAGAACGGTAAAAAGTTACCTCGGCCATGGAACGTGTGTCATTTGAAGAAGTTCCATTCTTGAAGGGCGATTGTTTACTGGTTTTATTTTTGTTAAAGGTATGAGTGCCTTTATTTTGGTTTGGGGTTGATATACCTCATCTTTTTTGTTAATGGCCGATTATTTTGGTCTAGGGGTGATATACCTCAACTCTTTTGTTAATGAAATATGTGTTTTTGGGCATTCTCTCGTAAAATGTGCTTTATTCAAAGATCAACAAAGTATCACAAGACGCGAGATATGAGTGTAATCGGAATGATTACACTGGAATAAGACAAGGTCAGTATTGACCTCGCATCCGATATGAGTGTAATCGGAATGATTACACTGGAATAAGACGATGTCAGTATTGACCTCGCATCCGATATGAGTGTAATCGGAATGATTACACTGGAATGAGACGAGGTCTGTATTTACCTCGCATCCGATATAATAAGTGTAATTAGAATGATTACTGGAATGAGACGGTCAGGATTGAGCTCGCAGCCGATATAATGAGTTTTCAGAATTACTAAATCAAGTGAGGTCAGTATTAACCTCGCATCCAAAACAGCTCAGCTTGTTAGAAAGGTAAAATGTTCAAAAAAAAAGGGGGCGATTGGAATGATAGCACTTAAATGAAACAAGGTCGGTATCAACCTCATCAACCGACATCATAAGTTAATGGTTAGGATCAGTAAGACAGCCAAGGAACATAAGGTATAAAGAGAAAGTAAATCAACTTATATTATAAATGTTTTGATAAACAACAAAGCAAACCCAAAAAAAAAAATATATATATATATATATATATATATATATATATATATATATAAAAGCCGACATAAAGCCTTAGGCCTGTGCATCTTCATCTTGAGTCGCCACATTATCAGCCTCGATATCTTCGTCGCCAACAACAACCGGGTCCATCAACTCCACAGGGCTTGCCTCGGTATACGGCCGAAGTGCCTCATCCAGCGGGACTGTATACCACGGTTGCCCATCACGGCGCACCTGTAAGGGTTGCCAGGTCACTCGCATCTCGTTGGCAGACAGTCTTTCCATTATGTCGACGGGATCTAGGTGGACCGAGGCGCCAGCCTTCGCAATATCCATCTGCGCTATCTTGATGGTATGCGAGACGGAAAACTCCGTATACGACATTAGGTCGGTTAAAAAATCCGGAGAATTCCGGTACATATACCTAAGTTCTGCAGAGAACTTCCGCAGCATAGCCCTACCCTCGTTAGAAGGAAGATAAGCACGGAAGCCTTCTTGCCAAGCCCGAGATTTTTCCTCCTCAAGGGCCGCTTTCTCGCGAGCATGCTCGGCCTTTTCTGCCTTAAAGACAACGCTCTCTTGTTCAAGAGCAGTTGCCTGCTCTTGGGCTCGCTGCTCCGAGATCACGATCTGATCTCGGAGAGCTCTCTCTTGCTCCACCGCGGCGGCCATCGTTTTCTCAAATCTCTTCTCTCAGGCGAGATAGCTCTTGTTGGGAATGGGCAGAGGGAAGGCCCCTGTTGGCAAAAATACCAACGAGGTGGCTAAG